CAAAACATAGAACAGCGCTTGATACGGATGCGTCTTCGACTGCTCAAGTGGGGAAGCCTGTGCATCAATTTGTGGGAAACCTATGCTTCGGTACGCGTTCATTGTACACCACTGTTTCCATCGGGAGATTAAAAAAAAGATAGGGAAAAAAACATCGAAGGGTAGATCTTATCTCTTATAAGACTGATATAGAAAATGTACGAGTAAACTCGAAGCATGTTCGTGGTATCGGTGCTGGCTCTTGGTGTACCTATTCCTTCAAATACTCATATAGTGATGCTTTTTCTTCAAGAATAAGTTGAATGGACCTTTCCGGAAAATCCCAGGGGCCCTCTGTTGCGCTTTTTAGACTCCCACGGCGACTAGTGAGAGGGAAGTTACGTCAACAACGCAGCAAACGCAGATTGGATGTTGATTAGTGAGAGTCGCTGATGAGGAAAATCCGCTGTAGAAAACAAAGGAAAAGTGAGTTTCGTTTTCTTCTGCGGAAATTCTTCATCAGCGACTTTCATCAATCAACATCTAATCTGCGTTTGCTGCGTTGTGGACGTCACTTCCTCCTCTCTAGTCGTCGTGAAATTCCGAAAAGCGCAACACAGGGCCCCAGGAGACCACCCTGAGAGGGGAATTATGGGGCTCTTCCTATGTATGTTCGTACCGACTCGAATGTTTTGTGTGTCCCGGAAGAGGTACAATTCATTCTTTCTCATCATTAAGAGCTCAGAAAGCCCAGAAAATAAAGCGAACACAAAAGAGGGTCATCTCATACTCTGGTTTGCTTCCCTTTGGCCTTCCCTGCATTCTGAAGTCATAAAATGTTAAACCAAGGTCAACTTCGTCTTCGATTTCTGGATAATCTCACGCGCCGAGCATCGCGTCACAATGCGTCGACTAGAAAGGGGGGGGGGGGGGGGGGGGGGAGGGGGGTCACATATTCCCGGAAACGCCTATCCATTATAGGGAGACTCTGCGCACTTTGAATACCACTTGAGCGTAATCGGGCTATCCTTGACCAGGTTAAGTCTAATCTAGTCAGGTCGAGCAAGCCGAGCCGGGCGTATGATTCACTACGGTTTCAGTCATGCTGGTATGGCAGTACCGGCTTTGACCTTTCGAGCTGCCAGACACAATTCTCCAGATGGTGAATTGGACACGCAAAGTTTGCGATGAAAGGTAGAACCGCGTTCTGGCTCACGTGTGGGGAAAACAAGGTCGTATCCGTGAGCTTACGGCGCGCCTTGTCAACCGCGATGACGTGCTTCGCTACTCGCTGGAGAATACACGACGGAAAACCTCTGAAGGGGCTGGCAGTCTAGCAACGCTCGCTTCAAGCGTGCATGAGGAGCATGTGGTTATCAATTACGAGAGTCCTTCTACGTCAGAAGCAGCGCCAAGCAGAACTTCGTTGATGTTGTTCGATAATTTGACTCGTAACCCAGGAAGGAGAGAAGGGAGAATGCATAGATTTCTTAACCAAGGGGCTTAACTCTGTGTGCACCAACTTGTTTTATTTTTATAAAGTCGAATGTCTCTTGACCTCTAGTCGAGAGTTAGCGGTCGAAGCACGCGCCGTAACATATGCGCAGAAACTCGTATTTTCTTCCGAAGAGCGAACCATATGCGGGTGCGCGTTTGGTCCCACTTCGCCCCCCCCCGCCGCCCCCTCCTTTATTCATGACGTCAGGGAAATCATGCATACGGCTTCATGTCAGATATGGTGTCTCTGACATGACGCCATTCTGACTTCTCTGTTGCAACTTTCGATCCAGACGATTTTCTTCAAATTCCTTTACGAAATAGACTCGACACCTAGTTTTGCTGTGAAGGACCGTGAAGACACTACTTCAATCTAGACCATGGTCTAGATAGAAGCAGTGTCTTTTTTAGCGGTTTATTTAAATGAACACATGAAAATGTTCGATTCAATTGATTCACGCTGCGTCGGCGCAGACAAGCGTGATCTAGTTTTAAAGAGGGTAGTGGGGAAGAAAATGAAAGAGGACCTCGAGGTGTACCTCTGCCTCGCTCGCCAGCCGTGATGGCTCGTATAGCGCTCCCCAGCAACCAGCTCAAATTGAAACCGACAAGGGGAGGGACCCATCGAACAAACGAGTGCCGGCCAAAAGGCGAGCACCGAGATGTTCGTCCTTGTTTTGGCGTGTGACGCAAGTGCCGCCACGCACATCAATCGCGATTACGGGCCACCGAGACGACAAGGCCTGCACCTTCCCTCCCTAAACGTCATCACTGGTGGATACAGGTGAAGAGCTCGCGTCAGCGTTGCCACCAACGTTTCTCGCAGCGTCTTACCACGAACGCGACGCTGGCAGGCGGCTACGCCGAGACGGACGTGTCTTGCGGCGACTCTGGCCGAGCTTTAGCGTGTTTGCCGTTTTGGGAGGGGGGGGGGGGGGGGTGGAATCCACCGATGATTACGTCATGCTTAGGCCTTGTCTTCTAGCAGATGTTGTGCAGGATGCTTCCTCGACGCGTCTTCACCGATGTTAGACCTGTACGCGCGCGGTCGTTGCTTCCAAAGGAACCGTGACTTTGGGATCAGAAATCGATTCGAGCTCGAAGGTCGCGGCGTGACTGGGGCTGCCGCCGTCGTCGCCGTGTCCGATGCTCTTACCTCGATTGTGGGTCGACACGAATTTGCTTTAAAAAGGGAACCGACACTCGAGCCCACGCGTGGCCCTGATGTCAGCGGTCAGACGAGGCTGCGCTGTGTGTGGCGTGCGACGCACTCTAGGGCTGGGTGGACATTAGACAGACAGCGCGTAGACATCGGGAGGTTCACTGAATGCGCCTGCAGGGTGCATTCGGTGAGTGGCTGACGTTGGGAGATCATTCGATTGACACTTGGGAGATGCTCGTTGAACATAAGGTGGCGTGTGGCAGGGTTCACTCTAAGAAATATGCAGTGTCTGTTCTCGCGCAAAGCACTTGTAAGAGCCCATGGCTACAATGCACGGAGGGAGGTCGGCAAAGGACGGGGCTAGTCATAGCTTTAGAACTAGAAGAAGTATGTGTGCGCTGTGGCACTGAGCATGGCGTTTCACCGTGCTCACTGCCACGGCGCACACCGTTCTTTGGGGTCAAGGAATATCGACTCCGTCATCCGCCGACCTTCCTACGTGGATCGCAGGAATTGGCTGTCCAGAATTCTTTACTGGAGAGCAGAAGCTCCAGATTTTTTAGAGTTTACACTGGGTGGATATTAGACATTGAGTCGATATTAGACTTTGGCTGGAGCGTCTTATGTAGTACTATATTTCACTCCGCGTCGCTCACCAAGTTGAATCCCAGACGGTTGCAAATGTGGCATTGAAGCTCTGCAATTTTGTTTAAGCCGTATGCTTATAGCCCGCAGTTCGTACGCCCTAGTGCTTAAAAGGCCGAATCACGGTGGCTAAACCAAAATTAGATGCACGGATATGCCCACAGGCCCTCAGCAATTTACGTAAAGACGTCACGAGACATCGAGTGTAAAAACGCACAAACAACACACCGCAACGGTTGATAGTGTTAGTGAAGGACGTGACGCAAATATTTCGATTCGGACTTCCTGATTGAAGCTATGCAACTACTGGACGCCAGCAGGTAGAATAAGAAGTCAACTACCGAAGCCATTGTCAACAGAAAACGGCACCTAAGCGAGGGGCCCCCAGTCAAAGCCAGAGATATCCGTTTATAAAGCCATCCGTCAGTCCCCGCCGGCCGGGGGAGTCACTCACAACCCAGACAAGTGGCGACACCCCCAGTCAACCGCGTCAAAAACGAAACGAACGGCACGCACGTCAGAGCCAAGTCGGTTAATCGAGCTCGCTCAGAAAGACATTCGGAAAACTCGGCAGTCGCGGGGGCTGAGAAACAGTTCAAGGTTTCGAGCTGACAAGAGTTGGAGTGCCGAGTCAGAGCAGTCGCTCGGGAAACCTGTGATGGAGCGATCCAATCAGCGCTCGATGGAAGCACGGAGGGTTGACTCTGGAAGCTCTGGCGGTTCCGGGGTAGAGTGGCAGTTTCGCCGGCGCAAAGGCTTCCTTGTAATGCGTGGGCTAGAATACATTGAAAACGCCCCCCCCCCCCCCCCCCCCCCACCCCCCCCCCCCGTCTTGAGCTTTTACAGACCACCAAGGCCCCGCAGCCCAGATTCAATCTTAGTTTAATTTTAAGCAGCGATAATTCAGCCAAGACTACAACAATTTACTCGTCCATATACAAATCTTATCTCGAAATGACTTGCGCTTTTTACTTCCTGTCTGGTCACAGTTGGGTCAGTTCCGATGTTGGGAAAACGCGCATTTCAGTTTGCCTGTAAACAGTGCATCAAATAAAAAAAAAATTGTAGAATTGAATTTGTAATTTTCAGTAGTATGTTTTATACAAACATCTTACGGCTCGTTATACGTATTATCGTTCCTGAAATTAGAAACAAATTACAAATATATGTAAAAAAAAACAACAACAACCTGATATTGAGTAACATACGACACATATAAATGACGAGTGGATACATATAAAATGACCAGTGTGTTTTCTTCTCTTTGGACTTCTCAAATTTCGGGAATTTTCAACAAGTGCGGCAACCTGCTCGCCTTTTTTTAAAATATTGCTTCAGTTCCCGATTCGTGACTGTTTTTACTCGGTAACATAACTTAAAATTCGTTACAATTTTGGCGTTCACCTTGCATACAATGTCCTTCATTCACACGAAATTGTCGGCATTTTAATATCATAATGTAATAATGGATATATGTAAATGACTTAACACTTTGAATAGGGTGGCGACCTGTGCCACCTTGCTAGTGTTCTGAACTTTAAAAGCTAATATCTGGGTCCTGACTACGTGTCTTTTCCCGCCAATTTCCCTGGCAGGCTCGTCTTCTTCGACTGGCAAGAAGATCGTGTGCTACTTCACCAACTGGGCGCAGTACCGGCAAGGGGACGGCAAGTTCGTGCCCGAGGACATCGAGCCCACGCTGTGCACCCACATCATCTTCGCCTTCGGCTGGATGAAGAAGCACAAGCTGTCCTCCTTCGACGCCTCCGACGACACCAAGAACGGGAAGAAGGGACTCTACGAGAGGGTCATCGACCTCAAGAAGAAGAACCCCAGCCTCAAGATACTCCTGGCCGTCGGTATGTTCGCCATCTCTCTCTTCCAGCTGACAACAGACCCTTTACGAATTCCTATCGAGCAACATTCGCAGCGATGTCCTTAATCGGACATCGCTGCGGAAGCGATGTCCTTAATCGGACATCGCTGCGGAAGCGATGTCCTTAATCGGACATCGCTTCCAGCGCGAAGCGTTAGGAGCGCGTTGGGTTAATACTCGATAAGAAGAAAGCAAAACATTAAGAGGGAGCAGAGACAGAGATGTACAAGCTTCAGCATGTCTGTCTCTGTCCCCTCTTTATGCTCTTCTCACTTCGTATTATGTCTTTTTTGTGAAGCACCACATTGTATACGCTTCCAAACGAATTTATCGGAAGGTAGCAGAAAAATGCCACCTAATTCCACGGCAACGTCAAAGCCACAGCTCTGCGCACACTGACAGCTGAAGCAATGCAGAAAGTGCCGTGCACTTTATTATCGCTCTACAGCCATTGAGGCCGATAAGAAGGTCAAAGAATCATTCACGAGGCAAGAAACGTGAACATAAGAAGCGTTTTTTTTAAGCTATTAGTTACTAGGCTCAAAACTATTGCTAATAAATTACGGCTGCAGTGATAAGCACATCGCAGCTGTGATCACAACGTTCGCATGTGACTTCAAGTTACCCCTCTTAGTTTGTTTAGATAAGGAGTAAATTTGAGATCTCCATAGACACTTGATTATAGCAAGATTTTAGTGTGACTTTGAAATTTTATAGTGGACTTCTGCGTTTTGGTTCCTAACTTGTTTTGTAAACATTATATTTTTTTTCACAAAATAACCTAATTTAGATTTTGTGTATGTACGCGGACCTTCCTTCCACGTAATTGCCCTCTTCAATGATCGGTTCCGCTAGTTTCAAGATAAATGTTGGGGGATAACCACAACCTATCTAAGTAAAAACAAAACGCTAACTACTGGCTCCTAAAAGCCCTCAAATTGATCAGAAAATGTTCATTTCTTAGAGAAAAAAAAATAGCGTTTACTTACATTTATCATCAGTTTGAGACTTCGATATCAAAGATATAAGTTTGTACATGATTACGAAGTCAAAGAGGATGCTAAGATTTGCTTTGACCGACAACCGTGGAAGGAAAAGATGACTATCTACATTTTATAGGTCGGTTCACTCAGGCAATCCTTGCAAAACATGAAGAATGTGGGTAATACGTAGAGAGCGTTCTTATGAATTTTTGTCTTTCTCACACAGGGGGATGGTCCTTTGGCACGCAGAGGTTTAAGGAGATGGCCTCCAACAGCTACAACAGGCGGCTCTTCATCTTCAGCTCGCTCAACTTCTTGCGAAAGCGCAACTTCGACGGACTCGACCTCGACTGGGAGTTCCCCAGGGGTGCCGAGGACAAGAGGAACTTCGTCGAACTGCTCCGGGTACGGTTGGAATGTAGCACGGAAACGAAAATGGTTCATACGAGAACGCAAAGAAAGAATCATCTGGAGAATCCCAGGATAGCAGCCGACGTCTCGCTAAGGAACTTGACTTCCGCGTGGTGTGAGTCGGGGTGCAGTTTCAAGACCCTTGCAGCTGCGCCTTGACTATATCGGAGTTGCCATATAGTCGCAATTATTAACGTCGAACTGGAGACTGTTTGCTGAATCGACGTGAGATGCGTGGAGTGCGTTCAGTGCTTTTATGAACGGGGCTTGTTTTGTTCCGAAAGCACAGTAGTTTCAGTTGATGTAATGCGTCTCTTCGATCTTGGCGCACGAATTGCAGTGCTCGGTTACTTTATGCGCCCGGTTTTGATGAAGTCCCACGACCTCGGATGTGTATGGAAGTCTTTTTCCCTCCGTTGCTAGACATGTTTCAAGTGTCTGAAAATTAAGGGGGGGGGGGGGGGGGGGGGCTTGTGATTTCTTTTTTCTGCATTCCCCTCTTCCGATGCGACTAAGGAAGTCGGTTGTTTGTGGAAACAAAGTCGGTTCGTTGCAGACGCAGGAGGTTGATAACCTGCTACGTTGGCTTTTCGTCAGGGAGACTGGTTCTATACGTCGATCGGAACAGACGCGGCGTCGCGATGACCCATTTATGCTCGGCAAACCGCACGACATCTTGAATTTTTTGCTCGTCAGACGCCATTTCTGCTTTCGGTTTTTGCAGTATACCACCACCAGAATAGTGACGCTGGCAAGTAATATAACTAAGAAATTATGTGAGCTTCTATTTATATTCGTATTCATCTTATTATTATGCCTCCTTGTTGTTGTTGTTATACACCGCACAAATAGGTGATAATACATATGAACACTATGTACATACAAGCGAACACTTTGATATGACAAGGTATGACGACCTGCGATATCGGAGTTATAGTATGAATAAGATATAGTTCGCACAACCTTTCGAAGCCAAAGGCGAATCAGTGGCTTTCTACCGTGTACGGCACTTTTTTGTACAAAGAGACTTCCAAGTACTCGTAATTCTGATGATATTGAATTCAATTAAGTTTTATTATATCCCTTAAAAAGTTACTGCGTTATGATTATTATAAAAAAAGCGCACAACTTATCACGTTGAATAGTTGCCACTCACCAGATTGGCTCTGAACGTTACATGAGAACATATACGGACACAAACTAGCTTTTTTTGGTGATATTTACTTGAGGAAACGAGATTTCTACTTCCAAGTCGGCAGTCTTCGAGATAAACGTTTACAACAATAAATAAGGATTGCCATAAACATGTCACATGAACGCGCGGCATGTTACCGTCAGCCGCCTTGGAGGAGCTTTCAATGGCCAAAATCCTAGATCGCTTTTAAAAAATCAAACTCTTACAACGTTACTTCTAACCCTCGGCAGAATGCAGCTTGCATATGTTATCTATACCCTTAAAACAGTAAAACTCGACGACCAGAGAAATTACGAATACCGAATGATGTCACCAAAAAGCAAAGAGAGTGAATTCCTCCAATGAATGTCGCCAGCTAACGAAAAAAGACAAAAAAAAAAAAAAGAAGTCTCGGCATATCTAGCTTGTCCGGGTTGCTTGTGAGTCATGAACGTGATACCAGCTTCTTTTTTAACTCTTACTTGCGAATGGGCGGTCGGAGTTGCAAAAACCAGGTCAAAATCTGAATATCTATCACCTGGACCTCGACAAATTATCCAATGCCACTCGATCGTTTTGAGTGTCGAAATTGAATACAGCAGATAAGCCAAGATGACTGTGTACGATGTTAGCACTGTAAAAAATTAAAATAAAAACACCCGCACGCGACACAGCTTGTTGTATGAAAATTGCCGTTTTCGTAAATTATTGACGAAACTAAATGCGCAGCGCAGATTTTAGATTCTGTAAAGAAAGAAAGTAGGTACACCCGCAGAGCCCATGTGTCTTCAAGGTAAGTGCCAGATCCAATGCGTGTACTGGTCGAATAAAATGCGCAAATTTTTATTCGAGAAACTCACAAATACGTTTGCAGACGCTGCACCCTGCATACATTCGTGATCTTTGGACAGGGCATGACACAGTGAACGCGAACGCGCAACCCGTAGGATTTGCCCATTGTTCTGACAGAGCTGAGCGGATTCCACCAAAAGAGTGTACCCCAGTGTGCTTATCTATGCGTCAGAAATGTTTTCTCTTCACTTTCACTGCAATGTATGAGTAAAACGTGGAAAGACACGAATGCTGTATTTCTGCTAACGTTTTCACAGCATGCAGTCGACAAGGGTAGGCTGGAACCCCCTCGAAAGCAAAACTAGAAATGGCGTTGAGGCGCGTCTCTCCCCGCCGGGACATGTTGCCTGTCTGTCCCACTTTGTTCGTTGCCTTAGCCCTAAAACGAGTGTCTCTCGGATCTCTTGACGAGCAGGAATTGCGGGAGGCGTTCGAGGCCGAAGCCAAGGAGAAGAAGCTGCCCCGGCTCTTGCTGACGGCTGCGGTGTCTGCGGGCGCCGAGATCGTGAAGGGCGGCTACGACGTGCCCGCAGTGGCCGCCTACTTGGACTTCCTGAACGTCATGTCGTACGACTTCCACGGCAAGTGGGAGACCATGACCGGACACAACAGCCCGCTCTACGCTCTGACCAACGAGACCACCTGGAGGAAGCAGCTCTGCATGGTAAGGGCCCCTCCCAGAACTGGTGTTGGGCCCGATATCGGACCATTATCCAGTCGGCAACAGAGATGTCTGTCTAATAGCGAGTTCGTTTCACTCGCGCTGGCACTGTGCGAGCTCTCTCCCAGAATGCATCGCACTGGCGGTGTGCCACACAGAGAACCGGTCCCGAATGAACCTGCAGAGTGAAAACTGATGCTGTCGCCATCTATGTTGTAGCAGGAGTACTGACCTAAAGCGGAAGATTGCGCCCTGCTGTTTGACCTGACAGGCGACAACGCGACACATTGCAGCCTCTGCAATGTTTATATTTGTGATGACTTATATAACTGGCCAGTCGTGAAGATATTAACAAACGACGTATGTTTCCGGCATGAGCTGACAAGAAAACAACTGTAAGAAATAACAAAAGTAAGAAATTTATCAAATCATTAACACGTGCTTACCCTGAAGAAAACACCGTCGATACTGTTCGCGCAGAAGCTTTATCAGTTTTAAGCGTGAAGCACTAAAATATTATGGTTTTAAACTAGTCTTTTGGAATCTCCAGCAAAACATTTGGCGGCACCTTGGATTTCGATCCTTGGTCGCATATAGTTGTTTCAGCTTTTATTTGAAATAAAGACGGTAAACTCAATAGCTAATGTTAAATATGATAATTTTACCCAAGCCTTCGTTAAAACATCATGTTTAGGTCCTTCGATTACTAAGTTTAACACGTCACAGGTTTGCTGTGCGAGCTTTCTTGTCCACTTCTGAGTCCACAATCGGCCGTATTTTGGCAAGAACGTTTCAGCAGCATTTATTTTTTCACGTATTTTGTCTGTTTTGGGCGACTTTTTGTTAAGCACTGGTAATATGGGGCATAAAAATATTCCAAACCGATACAACTGGAAGATGTCAATGTGTTCTGACGGGCGAAGGAATGCTAGGCTGCCCTTCACTTGTACTTCGCAGACCCCCCCTTTCCAGACGGTAGTGGTTACTTGAACAATTTTGACTAGGGCACGAATATTTGAGCACACCCGTTACAAAGGGAACATCCACAGGATCATCATCATCAGGTTCATTATTGTAAAATACCGACGGCAACTACGCTTTACGTCGCACCCATCGCCACTAACCAGGTTGTCAGATTATGCGGTACTCCAACGACTGTGGCTTGAAAGCTACTGAACCGTTGGTGCGCAGGACTTCGGCGTGAAGATGTGGGAGCGGCTGGGGGCCCCCAAGGACAAGATCGTGGTGGGCACGGGCACTTACGGCCGGACTTTCACCCTGGCGAGCCCCAACAAGAACGGCATGAACGCGCCTTCGTCCGGAGGAGGAGAAGCAGGACAGTTCACCAAGGAGGGAGGGTTCCTGGCATACTACGAGGTGCGTAGTACAGGCTATAAACCAGTACGATATGTCGGTTAGCGAGATCATAAGCAGTAATTAAGCATCGATTAATAAACTGTTCAACAAACAACTGACAAGGTTAGTCAAAGCTTGCCGGAAGAACTGGAACTGGAACCTCCTGAAAGCCTCACTATGGCTGCCTACGTTTCGTCATGATGTTTAACTTCTCCAAGAGCGGCAGTCGACGTTTCGCCAAAATCATTCGGGGTGTCCTGAAGAAGTTAGGACTAGCAAAACGCTGGGCGCAGCTCTGAGGCTTCCAGAAGGCCTCTTTCAGCAACCGTGTAGCAGTAAATAAGTCTAATAAAAAATATATTTTTTTAGAGATCCAATGTCGATTTGGAATGGTCATAGGCCTCGTTGTTTGTTTTCTTCGCTCGTTTAGTTACATGAAGGAACTACGTTTTTACTTTGAGGTCAACGATAAGACTTGTGACAAGCTGGTGTAGTAAGAAGAAAGCAAACCCTTAAGTATAAGGACTTGGCTCTTGGAAGGAGACAGAAATTTAATAATGAGTGAGGAAAGTTTGGCACCTTTCTAATGATGGGTCCAGTGGAGCACGAGTATTTGCCTGCGGTCTTTGGAGAGAGGGTTTTAATCGTGTTGAACTTAAGCAAAACAAAATGTATTGTAAAATTACTGAAGCTATAAAAATAAATAAATAAAAATAGCTCAAGGGTTGTTAAAGACGCGGATAATGAAACAGGGTAGACAAGCACAACTTCAAAGATGAAGAATAATGTATTGGGCATTGATTTGCTGTGTTACATTTTCTTTAATCTCAGGTTCGTAATTATGTTGACCCCGCAGTATCCTAAGTGCGGTTGGCTTCTTCTTGACTGCTCAAAGTATGGTTTGATTTCCTCAAGGTGTGCGACATGCTCAAGAAAGGCGCCGACTACGTCTGGGACGAGGAACAGCAAGTGCCCTATGCGTACCTCGGAAATCAATGGGTGGGCTTCGACGACGAGAGAAGTATTAGGATAAAGGTAAGTTGAGTCACTAAATCGCCAAGTAATTTGGGCCGAGTCTCCCCGTATGTAAACATACTGGCGCGAGAATATCTGCAATTAAGCTGTATGTAGGGGACTCTGTCGACTTACAATTCAATCATTGAACGCTGATTTAGGTAAGATTCCTTTCAACGGATGCATTTATCAAACCGCCTAGTTTTTTTTTTTTGTTAACCTGCGCGCCTTAAGACACCGGCAAACAACACCCTTACTCGTCCTAAACATCGTTGAGGGCAGTGGGTGCTAGCACCCACTGCCCTCAATGGGGCCTAGACAGGCCCCATTGTTATGAATGGGTGAAGATAGCTATACCTTCACCCATTCATAACAATGGGGTCTGTCTAGTTTATTCATCCGTTCCAGCACTCACTTCTCTCGTATTTGTCAGCATCTTTCACTTTCAACCGTATAATAGAAAAAGGCCCAAGTACTTTTAAGAAGAAGCCCCAGTTTTAGAAAAGTAGTGTTTTCCGAGTTCAGTATCCAACCATAAGTTAACGCAACACCACTGGCGAGCTGGATTAAAATAAAAAATTTAATCCCCAACGAGAGCACAAACAAAAGTTACATTTATTGTGTATTATCTTGTGTTCACACTTTCTAATTTTAAAATCACTATAATTTAATCAACCACAGTTTTATCTTTTGGCAAAGGTAAATCAGCGCCATCACGTGCTATGTTTTCCGCTTGTATAGGCATGTAAACAAAACGTCGTTTGGCCGGCTACTTTTTTGCCACATGACAGATGAACTGGATCAAGACCAACGGCTACGCGGGAGCCATGGTGTGGACGGTAGACATGGACGACTTCCGCGGTCGATGCACCACCAAAACGTGGCCCTTGATCGGAGCCATGGCCGAGGAATTGTTGGGCAGGCCAAGCAGGGGGCCCAAGAACCTGCTGCCATTCGTCAAGAAAGTACGCACCACGACCACCGAGGCGCCTGTCGTCAAGAGGATAGACTCGCTCAACACAGCGTCGTCCAGTCTGCCTGCCAAGGACGAAGCTGCAGAACCAGGTAACGCTAGGCTACTTTTGGGACTTCATGACTTCACGCACGAGGAGCGGCGAATATGCATTAGGCTAGACGATGTTGTCTTCTTTGGTCACCGATACAAAAAAGAAGAGAGCCGTTTCATATGTTCAAGATATTTCAACGGAGATTGAAGGAAATCAGTTCGGTAGTCGAACCTAGAAGGATAAGCTTGAAGAAAAAAAAAAATCCTTGTGGAAGTTCCAGTGCGGCAGCGGTCATTTTACTCAAAGACGTAGATTCTTAAAGGCCTAAGGCAGCTATGAGTCTCTTTAGGAAAACATAGACTCGGAACCAAGGTGCCCAGAAAGTTTTTCTCCAAGTTAAAATCCTCGTTGAATATGATTGACAACATAAAAACCATCTCGAATTCCCCAGAAGCTGTACGAATGTCTCAGAAGCAAACAATCCTCATCTCATGCAGACACCAACGCCCGCGTCGTCTGCTACTTCACCAACTGGTCGTCGAAGCGCAAGGGCAAGGGCCACTACGAGCCGGAGGACATCGACACGTCGCTGTGCACGCACGTCATCTACGCCTTCGCCAACGTGAAGGAATACAAGATCGCCACCACGGAAGGCGTGGACGAAGGCCAAGGAGCAGAGAAGGGCTACTGGGAGCGCATCGTTGCCCTGAAGACAAAGAACCCGCTGCTCAAGGTCATGCTGGGAGTCGGAGGCTGGATGCTCGGCTCCGCTCCCTTCCGCGAGATCACCGAGAACACCTACAGGTGGGTAGCGACGACGAGAGAAATATTTCATAAATCGGTGTCCGTCATGTCACATATCAGGTGGGCACGGTATTTACGCCGATAGTGGATTTGTTGCCGAGACATGCTGGTAGACAGTGTAGTAAAACTAGCTGTATTCTAAAGGGGTTGGACAAAGTGTTTCTATGCAGATTACTGCAACTATGATCGGAGAGTGGTGAGCGCTGGTCACGTGAAGATTTACTTTAGTTTTTCCGACCAGCGCTTAACAACGAACCTGATTGCAAAAACAAAAATTGTGACGGTGGCAATGGCAGAAGGGTAGACAGAAGCGGATTTAGTTATCAGTTTATGCTTGTGTTTTATTAGCGACTCTGACCAAGATATATTTCTTACAGAAGACAAGTCCCTCACGTTTTTGGTTACCGCCCTCGTTTTCTTGTCGCTTACGACCTAACGTAACCAACCTTGAGACAACTGTCTGTTTTTGGAACGTGCAGGCAGTCTCTGTTCGTTTTCAACTCTATCGACTTCCTGAGGGAAAAGGGCTTCGACGGACTCGACGTGGACTGGGAGTTCCCACGGGGCGCCGACGACAAGAAGAAACTCACCGGGCTTATCAAGGTGACGACGGAATCAAAACAAACAAATCAAATGCGCGTGTAAAAAAAAAAAAAATTTTACTTTCCATGGCTACAAGAGCGAGCTTCTCGCACAAGGAGATTGCTCGGGTGTAGGAATTGTAGTGCAAAATGAGCAACTGTTATGAGCTCGGGTTTCTACCCTTCGCTGCGATACATCTTAAAACTGTAGTGGCGTAACGCCACATTTGCACCGCAATCACACTGGCGGTTGAACCGCATTCGCAAAGCGGTTACGAACGCGGCTGTTCAAAGATCCAATACAAACTCCCGCGCATTTGATGATGAAAACGAGCTGACCAGCTTCGCGGTTGCGATTCGAACGCCAGTGTGAATGCAGCTTCCCACTGCTCATGCATCATACAAAAGGCACTCGCTGCAGACACGCTGACACAGTTATTTGCGGAAACGGCTCAAGTATGCTCAAAGCATGCTTGGTTTATACGTATGCATGCTTCGAACCGGTCTGCAGTCCGTTTTTGTATGACCACTCTGACCATGATATAAGGAAAAAAACATTCCTCAGACAATAGAGAGTTTTAGTGAACCATTCTTGCACATCCGATCCGGTACGATGGGCCCTCCGGTACAAACCACGCATAAGCGAGCCTTCTGCATTAGCGCATGCGCAGTTTGTACCGGAGGGCCCATCGTCCCGGATGGGATGTGCGGAAACTGTTCCCTAAAACTCCCTAACGTCTGCAGACAGTATTTTGTATGACGTGCGACTGCGGCTCAAGTGCTGTACGCCGAGTCGTTGTAGTTAGACGAGCATGTGGGACCTCAGCACCAGTGGGCAGTGCGCATGCCTAGAAATTTGGTCCTTGAAGATGGGAGTACCTGCATATGTGGACAAATTTGGTTTTCATAGAGATCTGCGCATGCTTCGGTCAACAGCCAGCTGAACGGCTTCAGCCCGTGATGTCGCGACTCAAAAAAGCACACCGTGTTCATAGTGTGCTTCTGTAAATTCAGATATCAGAAACTGATGCTGTTCAGCTGGCTGGCTGTTGACCGGAGCTTTAGGCTTACGTAGATATGATAGAGGTGATGTTTGAACCTCCGTGAACTGCCGTTTTTGAATCCGTTCAAACGGATTCAAAACCGCTCTTGACCAATGCTCGGACGTCTCCTGAATATTATTTATATAGGCCTAACGCCCCGGTCAGACCGCTAATACAGCATACACAAGACAGTCTGTATCTCAGGCCTGTTTCTTCCCTATCCGACAGCCCTGTTGAAAACAACAGTATGCAATGCAAGGAATGCAATGAAATAGGCCAGAAATAATAAAATGTAATGAAATTAATCAGAAAGTTTGGGTCAAAATTGAATTTAAAAGGGACAAGATGACTGGGAAGAATATCGCTGTCATTGTTTTGCACCATTTTTCTGCTGATGCCTGGCTTTTACATTGTGAACGAAAACTGAGCCCTCTGCGATTGCTTCCCCAGGACCTTCGCACAGCGTTCGATGGAGAGGCCCTGGCCTCGAAGAAACCTCGACTTCTGCTTTCAATGGCAGCACCGGCCAGCTTTGAAGCCATCTCCGCAGGTTACGATGTCGAGGAGCTCAACAAGTGAGCACGCTTTTTATTTTTATTTTTTTAACGAAAGGGATTGCGAGCGGAAATACCACTTACGGCTGCGTGATGTCAGTTTCAGTAGATACAGGTACTTTAAGCACAGCATGCGCAGAGAGCCTGGCTCGAATGTTGTATATCTTAAACTGCGCAATTCAAAAGCTGATTGAAATTCATGTTGATCTTGAGCTCAGTACATCTAACAGTAAACATACTCAGCGTTCATGGTGACAAGTATGACGTTTTTTAATACTATATAAATAAGTTGGTCTTACTTAGAGAGCATCAGTTGTACCTGCACACCAGTCGTACGACTGCACATCAGTCGTATTTGCACAGGCGCTCGGAGCACGTGGAGCGAAAGCTTGCGCAGCAGAACCCAGGGATCCTGGGTTCAATCCCCACCCCTGCCCGTTTCGATCTGGACGAGCATCGTACCGGCCTGCGGTCGTGTATCACTACTGCGTGGTGCACGTTAAAGACCCCAGGCTAGCGGTTGTACTGCACTGGCTAGATTGCTCATCTACAGCTGAGGCACCAGACGCTGATTAGGGTTAACGTTTTGGCTGTATAAACATACACACAACACAATTACTTGTTACTTTCAGTTTTACGTACCTCATGCCCTACGCCGTTTTTTGTTTTCGTACATAGCAACAAACTGGCCGACATGCTATAACACAGTTCTTGATAGTACGTGAAAGGTTTAAAAATTGATCACTTACAATTCCAGTTACAATAACATTTTACGGTAGAAGGAGTTTAGTCTTTTGCTGCAGAATGCGCCTATAAAGGCCCGTTCACACATCTGTGTCTGCTTATGACTGAGTTCTTGTGATATCTTACGATGAGTGAAAACACCGACACGCCATCTATGATGTGACCCTGGAACAGCATTTCAGTAGAGCGAAGCTTTTTTTAATATTTTTAAGCTCAAATGTACGTGCTATCTATAAGAAGATGACATTTATAACATCGTCAAAAGTTTTTGGAGCCAAAAAAGAAAGAATGATACTCGAAAATGTAGGAACTATGCGAAAACGCCAAGTGCTCCGCGGCTTCACGATAGATGGCACCAGCGTGTTTTTTTCGTCGTAAGATAAGAGGTTTCAAGAGGTTTGAAAGCACTCGGTCGCTAGCGGTCGCAAATGTGTGAACCAGCGTTAAGACTTCATTTTCTGGCCTTAGGTACGTGGACATGATCAACATGATGACGTACGACTTCCACGGAGACTGGGAACGCCAGGTGGGCCACCACAGCCCCCTGTTCCCGCTGTACAGCGCCAGCAACTACCAGAAGAAGCTCACGGTGGTGAGTGCAAAGACGCCGACGTCACTCCTCACTTTACTCGGGGCACTTTTTCAATCAGGTTTTCCACCACTTAATAGACTGTTGCCTTCGCAACAGCCGAAGCATGTTCGAAGCCTGTATGCTTGGAACATGTCTGCAAAGAGTTTTTTTTATGAATGTCACCATCATGCAAGGAAGGCCTCAGAAGACGTCTGTACTGCAGTTTAAGCATTAACAGTCTTAGCGCGGCTTAGGGGTACAGGGAGGGAAGAGAGAGGGAGGCGTCTGACTTGCTGACAAGGAAACTGGAGGCGGTCTCTAAGCCCGTGTTCTGACTGAGGGCGGATTCGGACGTGTGTGTTGTGACGCAGGACTACAGTGCCGCTGAGTGGGTGCGCAAGGGCGCGAGCAAGGAGAAGCTCCTGGTGGGCATCCCGACGTACGGCCGCTCCTTCACCCTCGGCAACAACACCCTGACCGACATCGGGGCACCGGCCACCTCGGGAGGCAAGGCCGGCAACTACACGGGCGAAACGGGCTTCCTCTCCTTCTTCGAGGTGAGCCCTTCTTCGCCCGTTCGCCTGTTGAAGCCATAAGCTCCATTCTACGGTGAGGTGGACGACAGTCCAGTTATCCCGTCGAAAGCATCGGGAGAGCATCGCTTTACTTAACCGATACTTCTGTGAGGAGGAAAAAGGCGGACTTACGCGGTAGATGAGATGGCGTTGTGCGTAAGCGTTACTGGAGGCACTTCGTACACGATGCACGATAATGCTGCCTGACTTGACTGCTTTACTATTACTTTTTTTTTTAGTGAAGTAGAAGGTTCGAACATGGCCTGCATTAATTTGCGCGGCGTGAAAATCAATTTGATAGAAGGTACTGTAACCTGCAGCTACAAAGATACAGATGTTTCGGTATAGAGGCTATATATGTTTCGCTTTATGGATACATTTTATCAGTCTCTATATAGACAAGCCATTTCCTTTGTTTTGGGCGCGATTAGGGGGTGGGGGGTAGGGCTGTTAGGTGGCTGACTACCTTCACTATATCAGTGCCTTAAATGCCTGCCAGTAGTTCAAACGAACTGGAACTTTTCTTTACTATGCTCATATATTAATTTACTTTAGGCTTGGATGGATGGATGATTGAATGGATGAATGGGAATTACTTGCTTGCCTGCAAACAGCCAAGTGGCCTGAGCAGCAGTGCACTGTCCTGTACACAGATACATAAAACCATGGGATAAAATCACAATCAGGCGAAAATGTCTGTTTCACAAAAAAAGGCATCGTGAGTCTGTTGCAGACGAGTCATTGGGCAAGTGGCTCGAATATCAGGATAAAACGTGTCTCTGCATTTTGATGTCCTCCCTGACGGTACCCGGAACCTCAGCGACATCAGCAGCTGGGCACGGTCAAGAGAACCATGCACAATTTGACGCAGCAAATGCATGTCTTTTGCAATTCGTCTATCGTGCAGAAACACTAGACTGAGGTCAGTGAGCACGAAATGGTAATTGTAGAAACGGCGGCGGCCGATATATCGATCGTATAAAACTGTTATAAACTTCCGCTGAACGTTTTCAATAAGATTACTAGGTAACATCGTTACAGAGTTCCAAACCACAGACGCGAACTCGAGGCAAGACCTAACCAATGCACAATACAGGCATAAAAGGCACTCAGAGCGACGAAATGTTTTTGTCAAACGCGAAATTACACCCAGTTAGCGAAGTCCTTGACCAACAATGCGAAAGACGTGGAAGCGAATATCCAATCTCGAGTCCACAAAGACATCAAGATCATCTCGTACATAGACAACCCGCAGCACTTGCTCTTCAAATATAGTGTAGTCGAATACTATGCTCCCCTTCTTCCTGGTAAGGGACATTACTACAGTCTCTTTTTGATTCAGTTAAAGCCTATTTTTTAAGTGCCAATGTTTAACGGTGCGGATGTCATTTTGTATCTGAATACAGTCATTCACAATGTAAACGACACGGAAAAGCTGAACGTCATCGGCGAACATTAGCACTTTCGAGTTTCTGATGGATTGAGTACATTGTGGGTCTGCTGTACTAATGGTGCTTGAAATCGTCGAATCCCTTATACTGACCAAGTAATTTCCCTACTCTTCCTACAAGGCGAGTGACTGACACAGTATTCCCGGTGGCCCCTTTTCTCCTCCAGATCTGCGACCTCTTGCGGTCTGGTGCCACTCTTGTTTGGGACAATGAGCAGATGGTGCCGTACGCCTACAAGGACGACCAGTGGGTGGGCTTCGACGACCAGAGGAGTCTCAAGCTGAAGGTCGGTCTGCGATGGCTGTTCTCTGAACGAACTGCTGCTTTGAGGGCTGTCCAAATTGAAGCTCTTCTATTCTGGAAAAAGTGGAGCCATTCATTGTTGTGGAAATGCTCGAGACACGTGCCGCGTGCCACTCTGGGAAGAACATGGCGTCTGAAATCTAGCTGAGTGCTGCGCTGTGCCGCCATGATCTTCCCAAGGGCTCCACACTGCACGTGTCTCGTGCATCGACGCACCTTGCGCTACTTTTGAATCACGAAGGGTCTTTAGTCGAAACAAGACGCAGCAGATGGCGTGTTTCCCCACAATAGTTGTCTCCATTCACGACATAAAGGCCTGTCTAAGCAGGACACTTCAGATGGCGTGAATAGGGTGCCTAGATGTCTGTCTGTCTCAGGGTGAAGACATCCATTGTTGTCCGGAATGTGCCAGCGCGTGACGCTCTCGCGCACTCGGTGCGTGACTTGGGCGGTAAGATGGCGTCTATGCATCAAGCAAAGCTACGCGCTCGAGCTGAGTGACACCGGATTGCGCGCACTTCAAAATGCATAAAAAAACGATTGGGCGGAAAAATGGCTGAGATGTCACCACTCAAGCAAAAGCGCGCGTGTGTATGAAGGCACTCTAGGCGTGAAGCGACTCAACTCCGCCATGTGGCGCACTCCGGTCCCTTTTCGTCCGTTTTTTTTTTTTTTTTTCCGGCGGAAAATTTTGTTTTTGCCTCTGTCCCTCATGGAGGCATGGAACGTTGTGCTTATTACGGGAGCCGGACAGCCAATCACACACTATGTGGCCTATCGCCAAGACCTCCACTACTGTTTAATTCTGAGCCTCCCCAAAGGAAAAAAATGAAAAAAAAAATACAAGGGCGACGAGGCAAAGCCTCTTCGCACGAGCCGATCCTGAATTGCCGGACCTCTTCGAGCTGCCTCCCGCGGCGACGGCGGCCGCGCGTCGCGGTAGAACAAATGAATAGGCACACCACTGGCAGGTAACGTGTGACGTAGAGTCTGACGAACACAGGCGTCACAGAAAAGCAGAGGAGGAAAGCCGTGATGTTTGCGTGGTTGATGTCCAAACAGATGACGGACGGGCGGACACCAACTTCCACTTCATATACCAGAGTTGTGTCGATTGGCGAGTTTTGAAGTGTCCAGTTTGGACAGGGCTAAGCCGAACTCCGGTCAGCTTTCGTGCGTTTTCTTGCCAGGAAGAAAGCTTCCCTCTGCTTGCGTCCTGAGACAGCCACTTACACGCTCTGCTGGTTGTCGTCAAGGCTTCCTCTATTGTCGGTCCCCAATCTCCCAATAAATGGGAAAAGGTGACAGCGAGGAGGTGAAGAGGAAAGCCGCGATGATCGCGTGGTTGATGTCCAAACTGAAAACGGACGCGCGCACATCAGCTTTCATGGAATATGTCGGGAATTTAGAACATATGTCTTCTGCTGTGCCCTGTTAGGACAGCCTTTTAGACTAAGCATTGGGGCACTGCAGGGACACTACATAGAGTAATGGTGCTTAATGTCATTAGGTCCTTCATCCCCCACCTAGCTCTATCGCTTTATGTCAATCTTCACACTCGGGCCAAGGTACATTGTTGGAGGAATGACGTATCATTCATGCAAATGGGTCACCCAAATATTCGAAGCTGGTAGGAAGAAATTGAAAGAGAACGTCTTGGAAGCTACAGATGTTAACGTGTTTTTTTTTTTTTTTTTTGAGGGACTTGGCGAAACTTCGTGCGCCAGTATGGGACCCTCAAGAGGTTCCTTTTTAGGTGTACGCACGCTATATTTTCAAGTATTTAAAGTATTTGTAAGGGACGAATATAGAGAATTGGTTAGATTGCTGAATGTAATCCCATGATATGGAAGTTACTGATAGAGAGATAGTTACGTGACGTACGGATTTCTCGTATTATGGCTCCTCGTGCAAATAGCTGACACCCCGGGTATATCGACCTAGCATGGCCTTTCATATTACGAGCAGTTTGTAAAATTGACTTTTCCTACGGACGTTGTTTACAAACGAGCAGCGTTTGTCCACTCCAGTACGGGCACTGCGCTTGAGCAGAAACCACATTCTCACGAAGGGGAAGTATCTACGCATGCGCCATACTGACAGCCCCACCACCGTAACGGCGTCAGGTTATCCGGAGCGCAAGTTCATCTGCTTCTTTTGCAGGGGTTGTGGTGACGTCAGAACGCCGAGCTCTGATTGGTTCTCATTGAAGGTAGACGTCAAGACAGCTTGCTTTGAGGTCTACCCATTGCCTTCAACCAAAGCCATTCAGAGCTCGGCGTCTTTCGGACGTCACCACAACTCCTGCGCCAGAAGCAGACGACTTGCTCTTTGCATAGTCGCGTGTTTCTGTGTTCAAAATACAAATCAAAACTGATCAAGGGTGACGATGGCGGGCTTGCGCTCGTGCACGCGGGGGGCATGGGGCTCGCTCCTTTTTTTTTTAACTTTTATATTCTGAGCGGACCTGGCGTTACGAATAAACCCCGTGAGTCTTTTTGAAGCTGCTGCTCTTCTTGTTCTTCACTTCAACAGGTGTTTATATATGGTTCACGCGGCTGGAAAGTTGGCATCTCCTTCAAACTTATCCACGATGCATTCAAGCATACTTGGAAGCGTAGTCCTTGGCGATTGATCGCCGTCTTGATAACCTCCTTCCCCTTTATTCCGGCAGCGATCTTTTGTTTTCCAGAGTGTCTGCTACACACTGTAGATTCTGCACCGTGTCCTGACGCGTTTCGACGACGCCTCGCGCAGGTCCAGTGGCTCAAGCAGGCCGGTTACGGCGGCGTGATGGTGTGGTCGGTGGACCTGGACGACTTCAGGGGCACGTGCACGGGCCAGAACTACCCGCTGCTCACGGCCATCAAGGAGGAGCTTAAGGGGTACAAGGTGGCCAACCTCGAGGTCGCCTCCTCAAACGTCTTCAACTCCTACGGCCAGCTCGTCGGTGAGCCTCGGGCTCGCCTCTCTGTGCTCAGATCCTGTAGCCGATAGGAAGTCAGCGCCGCCATTTATTGCTCCGTTCTGGCCGTTTTACGACTGCTTACGACCGAGTGTCTTACAACGTTTTGTGATCTTTGACGATTGGAGAACACACTAGCGCCATCTATGGGGTGGAACTACTTAGCATTCCCACATATATCCTAGTTTTTTTGCACATCATTTTTTTTCACTATTGACTTAAAGAAAACTTCCGACAATGTTATAAATGAAAATTTCTAAGGAACGTAAATACCGCAAAATCTTCGCTCTGGTCAAATGCAATTCTAGGGTCACCTCATAGATGGTGCCAGCGTGTCAGTTTTTTTCTGTTGTCGTAAGAGATCACAACAACTTGGTTGAAAGCAAACGCAAGCCTGTAAACATGCTTTTAATCTCAATCTTAGATGCTCGTATAAGACGAAATATCTTTTTGTTGCCTAACATCTTTAATGTCATCATCAATGACTATTGCTTTGCACATGAAAATCTGTCGCCACGGTTTAGCACACGCACCTCATGCATTGTCGAGTGAACTGAATCTGTGTAACTAATTTTCCTTAACGCTGCTACTTTTGTAAAAGCTGCTTTTTTTCCCTTGCGCACTTTGCGTGTTTGGGCTTTCTCTCGTTTAATAGTCCGCCATACAGCGGGAAGTACTATCGGCAACAGTATGAAAAAGAGCGGTTCATCATAATTAAAGACAAAACCCATAGACTGCGGAAAGACGAAGGACAACACAACACACAGTCTAAAAAAGGTGAACACAGCACATAAAGTCTTCACCAGCTCGTTTGTGCGCTAACATTTCGAACGGTTCATCTTCCTTCTTTTTAGTTTCACGGCTCCCCCAACCTTCGTCAAACCCACGGTGTAAGATACACTCTTTAGGTGAGGACACGGTAGGCGAGGAATCAGATAGTGTTCGTTAGACGGGCATCCGAAAGGCTGCATCATACCGCGGCCACCGTGCCCGCGGCTGACAGTGTCGCCGGCGGCCAAACGGCGAAACTGTGTGAGAGCGAAAACAATTATCTCGTTGCCATGACAATCCGGTACACCGTGGTCTTTCTGCACGAGCGACAACCTCGCTGGAGCTCTGCACGTGTGGAGCATGAGGCGGCACGAGCCGTCTTTGCCGTGCCCACGGGTCGACGAGTCACCTGGCGGCGCCGCTTAAAACCGTAGTGAGAGAGAGAAAGAGAGAGAGTGAAAAGCGAACTCTATCTGCACTGCGCGAGGAGCGCGCTGTCCTCACCTGAGGAGTATTATCTTACACCGTGGTCAAACGTCAACCTGTCAAACAGTATGTAGTTTGGCATCTAATCTTTCCGTTCTAGTCCTCGCCGGGACCGTAACGTTTTGCAAATTTTGTAAGTACGTCAAAGAGCGTGGAAGTATGTTCCCATTCATATTGTTGCCTACAGTGCCTTGTTCGAACGCCGCTGCTTTGCTGTCATTTCTTAATATCTCCATATTTTTGTCTCTTGGAAAACGCCACTGGCAGGCGACTTTTTATGAGTTCGACATCCTGAAATGACATAATTCCTATCGCACATGGAGATGAGGAATATAATGGCGATAGTGACGATACACTATAAAAAATTACCGTGATACATTTACCGTTACTGCAAGGCTGAAAATGTGCCTGGAACCTGGTACACCTCGATGAAAACTTTTATATCAAACATTCTCTTACGCTGCCTAACCCCAACAAAAAGTGGTGGTATAAGCAAGGCCGTACAACTATGGCGTTCCCGATGGGTGTGTTTACCGTATCCTCAGTGTGGTCCCTTGATTTCCGCCTGTCGTGCTGTTGCCCGCCGCTATCCGGCGGTGTTACAGCAGCGAAGGCGATGGGGGAGACGCCAGTTTTGTTGCAGCAACGCTACAAAGGCGTCCCTTCTGCCGGAACTTGTACGAACAACCGACGGTATCGCGACAGCCGACAACATGAGGCACCTATGACATCACTTCATGCCACTTTTGAAACCTTTTTAGATACATGGGCGGCCTTAGACGCTAAATGAAGACACCTTTGAGGCACCGTAGTATAATATAGTAGTTATACGGCCATTCTTAACCTCAGTTAAGTTGCACTTTTTAACCTTTTACTATCATGGACGAAGTAGCCAAACACAAGGTTTAATTCGAGTCACTCCTAACTACATCGCCTCGGAAGAGTTAAACTAATTGTTTATTAAAAGTTATTTCTCTCTCTCTCCTAACTAGAGTTAGGCTTCACCACAGTTACCACACGATACTTTCGGGCCGCTATCTCTAAAGAAGGGAAGAGTGAGAGTGCACAGCTTTGATGGGCGTTCAAGACACGCGAGCGCAAGTTCGCCCATATCTTTGACTACATAGCCACAGAACGTTCCCCGAGAGTATAGACGCTTTAAAAGGGGCAATGCAACCATATTCAATTGGAATGTTTTTCACTTTACGCGAGTTCACTGCGACTAGTGGGACTCAAGGATACTCGCACGCAACGCCGCTGGCCAAGAAACTTCTTTGTTGCGGTGTGATCTCAAGGACAAAAGCGAGCGTTTTCTTTCAATCTCCCATTCGCAAAACTTGATGACGTAGCTGGGCGGTTGCCCAGCGACGTCATTGATGATATTTGAATGCGGCTCATGAATTGGGCCCGAGCATTGCGTGGATACTCGATTTGGGCGTTGGATAATCGATAGCTAGAGAAGCATTTGGGTAGTGGGTCGTGTCCAATCACTACATTGACGACAATAGCCGAACCATGACAATGTTTGGAACTTAGTGCGCGTCATTATGATCAACATTGGCTGCATATAATCGGCTCCGGACGACGTGGCCGCTTGTTCTGGCTGTGACTGGAGGGGTGAATGCTGCTCGTTTTTCTTTTTTTTTTTCCTTTTTTTTTCTGCGACTTTGTTTGCGTGTGGTGAAAAACGAACGGGTGTTTCACAGGTCATTAACGTCAGAGATACGTTCTAAGCGGTATTTACGCAAAGTACAAAAAATCTTTGCATCGCCCCTTTAAGCATCGGTCCATGTGCGCCGTCATACCCGACCTTCAGTTTTTGTTTTTTCTTATTCCGTTCACTTCACTTCATCATTGCCATAGCAGGCCAGGTGATTGACATTTTAGATACTACTGTGTCATTCTCCCCAGCATTGACTTTTACGGAGCCTCGTCAACGCCCGTTTCAGTGGCTTGGTATCTCGGCGCGACAACAGAAGGCCAGCAATGTCGGCTGTAATCTGGCGCGTGTTTAAAGCGTCTATAGTGCGTTAACTGCAGTTATGCGTGTCCTTGCAACGAGGGTGTAAGGCGACAGTTTGTTAAAACGTTCACTTTGTGGTACGTTTTCTGCCTGGTTCCGGCATATCGGTAACGGCAAAGGTATCACGGCAATTGAATGATTGCATGTTTCACAATTTGTGACTCTGTGATGAACGAAATTTGTTATTTTCTGTTTGTTCAGACCCGGACGAAGTGGTGTGCGAGGAAGAGGACGGCCACATCAGCTACCACCTGGACAAGAAGGACTGCACCATGTACTACATGTGCGAGGGCAAGCGGCGACACCACATGCCGTGCCCCGTCAACCTCGTGTTCAACCTCAACGAGAGTGTGTGCGACTGGCCCGAGAACGTCGAGGACTGCAAGCACGTCTCCAAGAAGACCTAGACAGGGCGGGGGAACGGATGCATCCAATCGCCAGCTTAGGAACTCGCAGCAGAAATGACCGAAGCACCGACAGCAGGGACATCGCCAGCAAGAACGTCCGGGTACGCGACCGTCTTAGTGCGGTGCCTTCAACGCGTCTCTGACTGGCGTGTTTAGCGTCCTATTCTGCCCATGCATCGAATCTGGTCCCGAATTGGCAAGCAATGACGTCACTGAAGCCAGAGGTTATGTTGTCGGACGTCGCGATCCTGATGGTTGGGGGGAGTAGTTTTGGAAAAAATGCGCGAGAGAACGCGAGTGGCGCTGTCGTCGCTGCGTCCCAACTCCTGGCTGCCCAAGCTTCCGTAGACTGTCAGACTGGGGGGCGACCTGCAGTGGAACAGGCGTCTGCTACATCCACAACCGCTGCTGCGACGCCGCCAGGATCGCTCCCGGCGAAAGCGGGACGCTTCTTGACGTCATCAAGCGTAAATAGAGGGACCACTTTTTTTTTTTTTTTGGACGTGGTCAGCACGCCAGTCAGAAACGCGTTTCAGGCACCGTAGGCACGACGGCAGCGTCCCCGTCTGGTGTCACCTGTAAGGAGTGGCATCAACTTTCTTGTAGCCCGTCGAAGACCAGGAGGACATTTCGATTGGCTACCTTCTATACCACGAGGGTTTTTCGTGTTTTTGTGTTCGTTGTTGTTGATGTTGTTGTTGTTGCTCTTTTTTGGGGGGGAGGAGGGCGCAAGCCACGATTTTGGCTTGCGCGTTTAGAAGTGAATGGACAGCTCAAGAAAAAAAAACAACCTATATGAGTGGATGTCAACGTTTTCGGGGACACCGCTGTCCGTTTATTTGTCGAATTGCATGACTCGTTTATTGTTTGTGTTGTTTTCTTCTCGAGTGCTTTGTGATCCAAACATCGGCAAAGAGCAACGAACTTTGCTGATAATTGATCGAACGAAAGCGAAAATAGCATATGCTAGCTTTCCTTTTTTTTTTTCTTCTTCTGAGTACCTCTGACCGGTTTAGCTGCTTTTCTTTAGGAAAGCCATCGACCGGTACCTACCGGTACCGGTACCGGTATCGACATCTCGCTCTTCTTCTGATGCAACAACTATTTTGTCGCGGACATTTTTCTATCGAAATGCACGCTATAGAACGCGACATATTTTTTTTATGCCCGCCAAGGTTTGCCATAAACACTACGTTCACACACAAAATTAATCCTTGCTTCCGATTTTCTTTGTGTCGGTATAACAAACCCCAAGAAGACAGCTGAGCTCGAATTATTCGTGCTTATGCTTCGAATGGCAAGCCTTTTTGGTATAGGCTGACCATATTTGGCTAGGAACACCATTCGGAACAAACAAATGTTACGTTAACTTTGGTGAACGTGTTCTTTTTGACAGAAAATATTGTATTACAAAAAAAAATTGGGGGAATCAGACAAATGTCTGGTACTACCTTACATTCGTGTAAAATACTCAAAACAGATGCCTGGCATGACGAAAGGTTTGAACACAAACCTACGGATTCAATGGGGGCTATCTCTGGAGTAAAACAGCGAAAACGTAATAATCACCGTGATTATAAAAAACAAAAGAAAAAATAACCGCCGAGTTAATTTGTGTATTAAAAGAAAAAAAAAGCGCAGCGTTGAAATAAAAGGACAGGTTGGAAGACATAAACAGTCACAACGCGGTGCATTCATTAATTCCGGTGTACAAGCTTACCGAAGTCCTGGCACCGGTGTTGATCACGGTAATCAGGCGAACCGTTGGACGTGAGGAAGAAACCAGGCTCGCTCTGCTACACGCTAGAATATCAAAAAAATTATCCAGAATCGCTCGTGGTGGCAGCGGAGCTAGAACCAACGATCGAGGGCATCTGGTTCAACTGTCGAGCTGGGCCTATGATCACGCTTACTTTGAAAATATGCGACTGCACCCTGAGATTATATTTACCTCGAAATATTACGCCCCCAAAATGGGTATGCAACTCCGTAAACGAAACCCCAATGTTTGTCGTTTTATTTAGCATAAAATGTACAGGCTGTGACTTTGAACCAAGCAAGGTTTCCGTTATGTTGCCAACTTTCTTTTGACGGTAAAATAATGTAGAATTCACGCCCGCTTCGCACCTGGCAACAGCGTGGCACTTGTCCAAGATACGTCTTACTTACGTCATGGCTTCGTCATGGCTACTATACTGGCATACGTAAGTTAATTGGTCAATGCTGTATTACAATTTAATGAACAAGCTTCAGAAAACCGACCAAGGTTTTCAGGATACGAAAGCGCTGCGTCGTAATGAGTTATGTGAGCCTGTAAAAAATACTGCCGACGACTGCCTGTCTTGTGTACCATCAAACTTTAATATATCTATAGTGTTAACCAAGCAGGAGGTTCGACATAACATCGGACAGCCTTTTGCACACTCGACCTTTTGTGTATATCTCGTGCATTGGGGACACATTGGGAATTGAAACGGATACAACGTTCTGGAGTAATTTCAACGCAGCGCCTACAATCGGGAACTTTCAAACGCAACATGCATACAAATTACACCATCTTCGTCACTCAAATGACAATGTTACAAAGCGAATACTATGTTTCTGTACCGTTAATGACGTAGCTGCCAACCCAGCGCTTGCGTTATTCGGAAGACGTAGCCGTGGCGCATTCATGATGTGGCTCTATGACGTAGTTATGGTGCAGATGTTCCGATGTTGTTCCAACACATGACACGTTGTTGCGACGTAGACAAGACGTCAGAGGACGTTGCTGTAAGCGAAACACGAGGTTCTTGTGACGCAAGCGCGTGCGTAGCTCCTGTGCTTCATGACGTCACGGTTAGTGTAGTCAATCAACGTGGCCTCGATGGGACAACAACGAGACTTTTAGCCGCTGTGACCAGTAACCGTGTCCTTGCTGCGTGCTCTGCTGGCAACCTTGAACCCTTCTCTCATTGGTCGAGTAGCGACCATTCGGAGGAAGGGCATAGGGTCTCCTAAGATGCGCCTGCCAACACTGCACAAGCTCCTTTCTTATTTATTATGCATACCTCCCGTTTTTCTTTTTTCTAGAAATGGGTTCTTCTATGTTGTCTGTATGTGTGTTTTTTTTTCTTCTCTCTCCTGTTTCTTGCCTGTATACAATCAGTCGTGGCTTGCCTCATCGTGAAAGACACACGCCCAGTTTCGGAATCGAGTCTTTCAATAAAAACAAAAAGGGCAACCAAGTTGAAAAACAAAAGACGAAAGTGCGTCTGTTCCGTTTGGTCTCCGTTTCAATCGTCTTTCTCTTTTACGAAGAACGTAAATGACGACGTTTAGACGACGAGCTTTAAAGCTCAACTCCGCCCAGAGTTCGATCCAACGCCAACGACTGATATCGGGTTAGCGGGACATGGCAACCACCACGATGTACTGCCACACAGGCGGCGCCTGGAGTCTTACTAAACCAATGTCAAAGATGCCATTCAAGGCTCCCTAACGGGCTGCCGCTACAGCCACACTGGACTATGTTTTTACAGCGGAGCTGTTAAGGGCTAGTTTCCCCAGGATAGTGTCCCCCACAAACAAATGTCGACACAAAACTCTGGACAGCTACCGCCATCTATGAGCGACGGCAACAACCAGATAACCGGTTTGCCGGTCTCGCTCGTAGATGGCAACCTTTCCAGCCTTTCCACTCTGGTTTTTGCTAGAGTGGAAAGGCTGAATTCCTTTAGGCGTCGTCCTAGATGTCGTCCTAGAAGTCGTTTTTGAGGTAGTCCTTGAGGTCGTCCTTGATGTTGTCCGAGAGGTTGTCCTCGAGGTACTCCTAAAAGTCAACATTGAGGTCGTCCTAGAAGTCGTCCTTGAGGTCGTCACTGAGGTCATTCTAGAAGTCATCCTTGAGGTCTTCCTAGACATCGCTCTTGAGGTCGTCCCTGAGGTCATTCTAGAAGTCATCCTTGAGGTCGTCCTCGACGTGGTCCTTGAGGCCGTCCCTGAGGCCATTCTAGAAGTCATCCTTGAGGTCGTCCTAGACATCGCCCTTGAGGTCGTATAAAAAGTCATCCTTGAGGTCGTCCCACCATAGTACAGCTTCGCTGGTCTTCGTTCCTCACCAGAGGGGAAAAGCTGAAAGTTTTTTTGTTTTGTTTTGCAGTTTTAGCTTTTTGGGTATTCTTGGAGCCGGCGACTAGAGCTGCTTTGCAGATGTGCCCACACGAGGCCGCCTGGCATCTTGCCCAGACCACCGCGAGGGATGGCGCTGACATTCCCGCCATCGTCACACCGAATTCCCTTCGCTACCGCCACTTTGGAGCTCTTTTTCTTATTTTTGTTAAACAAAACCTCGAAATAAATGTGTGGTACCAAATTTCTACGGGTCTATACGTGGAAACCTCAAATAAAAACAATTAGATTTTTTATTCTAGGAATCTAACTGAGCCTAGAAAAAAAAGAAATGATATATTGGACGAAGTAGCTTTTAAAAACAAGCAAAAAGAGCGCCTAATCAACTTGATTGCGAAGGTATAAATTCACAATCGGGGGCTGATCACTAAAGTTCATCTCATCTCACAAAGTATTTATTTATGCCGCGACGCCGAAGTATTCAAAGTTCTTAGAGCACCCTTGGTTAGTATGAAGCGCTTTCTCCTAACGGTCCGGAGCAATGCGGGAAAGCACGCTTCCGGGTGGAGGCGTCTTTTCTGCATTGTCCGGAGGCATGCCGGAAACCTAGGTGGGACTGAAAACCTCGGCGCGCTGCGAAATGGGGTTCGCGGTGTTCTTGAGACAGACACGTACACATAAAAAAAAAAAATCCATATAAACATTTTTACGTCACCATAATCTGTGTCGTATTGCCTTTACTTTCTTTATCTTAGCGCCAGTAAAAGCAAACACTTCTCCCGAAATGGTCCACTTCCGCAGCGTATTCGCAAAAAATGCTGAGTCACAGGGTTGTGGACGCATACGTCTGATATACCGCACAACAGAGCTACAACGCACGATTAGAAGAC